CTTCCAGGTACATAGATCAATTTTGAGATTAGATGTAGGATACTAGCCAAAAATGGCAAGTAGATTCGTGAAATTGTGAACCTTCATAGATTGATATGGTTGGCGAATATATTACGAATTTTTAGCCACCGTCTTCATCGACAGAATCGTTCGACATGCTGCGGCTGTATTCACTCCTCGTCTTTTCTAAAATCTCAAAAAATTTGTTTACTCGTTCTTCATACGTTCTTCTCGAACCATATCTGTCATGTGCAACCTTTCCTACTACCACTAATACTGGTCTGATATTTCACTTTGTTGACAAGGTGTGGTAACTTGAACAGGTGGACATATGTTCTAGGTTCTACGTTGAGGATGACTGATATTTGTAATGCCGCTCCTATATTTTAGACTTCCCTATTATAGAGTGGACTAGTCAGAAAATAAGGATACGTGTATTAGTCAATTAATCGAACCGGAGAATCATAACAGCATTTGTATTCTTGCTGAGAGGTGTTAGCCATGGACACATTGGGATTCATAAGAATAGTGAAGTAGTTAAACCACTCAACTAGTCTTCCACTTATGATCATTTTACGCATTAAATAAGATCAATCTTGAAACAATATTTTACAAACATGTAAATATTAACCAGTCTAATGGCAACAGGGTACAATAATACAATAAATTAGACAATTAATTCTATGAATAAATCTACGGATTGCTAGTTTATATAATCAATCAGTAAATCATATATTCAAGTTTAACTCCAAATATCGAACATTAATCATCCAATGAATACTATAATCATATAGCTTTATGAATAAACTTAGATGAGATAACTGAATTAAAGTAACCGCATCTATGATAGTATTTATCTTGTTGTGTGTGACAACTTGGACCGATGCATATATATGCCTTATCTTATGTTGTAACTGACTGACTTAGTAACTGAATTGAATTGCCGACAGATAACGATAAGAATTATAGAGAGCTATATATTATTATTATTATTATTATTATTATTATTATTATTTTAAAGGAGTACAAATAGACTAAAAGTGAGATGTTTATAAGAAAATTAATTTCGTCAAACCTAGAAGTACAATTCATGTTGTTGTTTTTTTCAGAAAATAAAAAAAAAATTTTTTTTTAATATTTGAAGGATAAGCAATGTAGGATGTAATCATTTCAGATGTATTATGTAATCATTTCGTTGTATATAAATAGGTTTGAACATGATTCTAATAAGATTGAAATATTAAATTAAACAACAAAAAAAAAACGCTAATCGCTTCCATAATGAATGGATTAATGGATATACAATTAATCTAATAAGATTTATATCATGATAATACTACTAATATTTATTAAGCTTAATCGAAAAGATATAATAATAATCATAATAATAATGATCATGTCAAAATATTGAAATATGACAGACAAGATCAATGTATGAAGTGAAAATTAAAGATACTAATGATAATCTAAGTCAGTATTCATTATATTATAACATTCATCTATCTGTTACAGATTGAATATCTAGTAAATTGATAAGAGTAATTCTAATCTATGCTTAAGAAATGTATCACTTTTATAGATTCTATCAAAGATGACTTCAAAGAATTTTTTTTGTATTCAGTCGTAGCATCATGAAAGTAATCTCAAAGTTAAGTAGTGTTTGGGAATAATAATGATAATTTGATGAGCTTCCCGATTGCGAAACACAGTATATATTGTGTAAAGTTAAGATGAATGTACTTTACTATCCGAAGTCTCCTCTTATTTTCTTTCTCAGTTGCATGGCATTACATAAGAAATCATATATTTGTTCATTTATTTAGTGGCTATATGACCTTTGTGTTTATTTCCCTTACAATATTATCGTCTCACTTAGTGTAAAGCGTCTTTCTGGTTCTCAGAATACTTTATCCCTTATAGCTAAAATAGCATATAGATATGATGTTATAACAGGGTTATGCTATATTTCGCAAAATGATTACAAATCAGAAATATAGGTTATTGTGTATTCCGACTCATTAGAATGAAAGTATTGTGCACTCAACAAGATTTAATAAAACCGATAGAAAATTGTGGATACATATTCCTGAATAGTTCCAATCTAAAATGAAACAGCCATTTAGTGCAATATTGTTTCTTATGCTTCTCTAGTTGATATTCAGTTTCGTGAAGAAATTTATTCTTAAAATATACAAATCTGCAACACTTGAGTGAACATTCATTTAGCCTTTTTTATTACTATCAATGTAGGTATTCTGGAGAAAACAACAAACATGATTCAGATTTCATTGAAGCGCGTGTAAATATAGAGAAGCAACGATCAATAGGTAGGTAGGTAGGTAGATACGAAGTAAATGAATGCCATGATCTGGGGTTAGAATGAAATATTTCCAATTAACCAACTAATGAATGAATAGAAACACAGAAACTGCAATGAGACTTTATGATAGCCATATTGATGACTAAAATTACGAAACACCAACTACTGACTTTCGTTCTGTAAACTCACAAATGATATGTTTATCACAAATCTATGTGTAGTGAGCTCAACTTGGAGAGGAAATGAGTGTTTATATGTCGAAAGAGTCATATACTGAGAAAACACAACTATCAAATACAGGATGATCACGGTATATTTTGAATATACTGTCTCAAGACGAAAAGTAGTTAGAACAAAAATACGAAAACAAACTTCGGAACAAACATTGCAGACAAGGACGAAGTCTTTCAAAGCAAACAATGAACCTCATCATGAGATCTACAACGTGGACAAATGTCAATTTACAGTGAGAACCCATGATGCTTTTAGTATATACGTAGTATATTTGAACATTAATTATGATTCCACAAAAGATAATAGATAGTCAAATTGAGATGAAAAACCAATGTCCGACGCTTAAACCGGGTCGATGGATATAGAGGGTCCACCTGAAGGAGTTGGAGAAACATGATTTCAAACAAATGGTGCACATGGGCTCCAGGATCCTAAGGAAACGAATGGTGTATGAACTCATTGTTGGTGACCGGATACCATGGGACCGGATCTCATAACATTACTCTCGTAGATTAGACCTCTAGGTAAAAGGCTCGAGGAGAGGTCTTCTAAGAAAACTACCTGCTTCTGTCTGGGCGCCCAAGTAGTAACCCAGCCCTCATACAAATCGAATGACGAAATGCGGCAGATCAAGTTGTCATTTCCCATTACCACGGCGAGATGAAATAAATTATATTAATAGTAAAGCAGTAGAGTGGATCAAGTAAAGACTAAACATTGATAACATGGTTAGGGATGAAAATATGAAAAACTGTGTATGAAGTATAGTACCAGAACTGAAGATCTAGACGATGATAAATGCATTTTTGCTATTGCGACACGTTCTAAGTCATGTCACTCAATGTCTACAACCACTGATCATGGTTATACTGCAGACCTCAACCAGGTAGTTCACGTCTATCAACATAGTTCACTCCAACGATGAATGTGTTCATGGAATGATGTCATCTCATTATTTGGTTGTCCTTAGCTTTTTCCAGTCTGTTTATACGTGAGCCAACAGCGTTAGTTGATGTGGGGGATAGTTGAACATACATAAGCATGTGTTCGAACCATTTCAGTAAATACAGGTTCACGATCTCACCAACTGATATATCATCTTTGCTTAGTTTTATTTATTTGAACACAAATATTGGTACAAAGAGGCACCGAATACATATGTGTCACACAAATCACTTGATTCGTGTGTGGGCTGTGATACGGCCCATGGTTTTTGAGAAAGTAGCCAACAGTAAACTAAGATTATTTCCTGATATGGTTATTTACATGATAATCTGATTATCTTGTTAATAACAAACTTTGTATTAAGAAATCTAGATTGAGTAAATTCATGATATTCACCACAAATACTTTAAAGGAACGAATATTGAAAAGTAATATTTGAAAGGTTATATTAAGTATAGAGAAACGGTATTCACAAAAAACAAGTACCTTCAAAATACTGTCAATCGAAACTGACATACAAGATAAAAAACTTAGAAGAGGGAAGAATTGTTTAATAAGTAATTACTAGGTACTCGGAGGAATGTGAGTGGTTTTTGTCTTTGTCGTTTACACTTTCTTGGTCCAATTTCCGTGATGACGTTATGAAGTATAATAACCTAGACTGCTGAGATATTTTACCAGTTCCCTGGTCATCAGTTGCTTTTGTATTTCTGACTATACAGTCCGGTCAGTTTGATGGAATGTACAATCCTGATTAGTACAGTACTAGTATAGAATTAAGTGATAGGATGCGTTGAATAATGAAACTTTATACTGACAACTGTAAGACAGTTAGATATAATTATATACTCAACAATGTTTTGCATATCCTATTTTGGTTTTGCAGCAGTCAGATGGATCGAAACGGTTGAAGTGCAAACTAGTTACATCTCATCATCCACTTAATGTGGAAATGTATGAACTCAGCACACTTGATTTTGAAATTATCAAAGAAAATTAAAAACTATAGCTTATATATTCTCTGACTAGATTTTGTTGTGAATAGGAAAATCGAAAGAATTTATGATAAAAATAATCGAGAAGACAAAACTGCTGACAGAACAACAAACATCAAATAAAAACTGAGAATCTCGAATGAAAAATTCAACTACATTGAGTATACATTCTTTGAACCCTATAAAAATCACTTTTGTGTTTGAGTGTCGTTACAAACGTATAAACAAGGGTTCGTCCTAAAATAAAAACTGACAAGCAATCTTAAATCTAGCTTCCTAGGATTGATCAGTAAATCGTATTCATAAACAAAAGAAAATATATTTGGTATGTATATCAGAGATGATGATTAAATACATCTTGGACAATAATCGATTTGTAATATTTTTAAGCAGTTAAATTAAAAAAGCTATTGTGTTTGGTCATGACAATTTTTAATCGATCTAAGTAATACTATTAATAACTTTATTCAAAGACAAAACGTATAAAAATTCATAAGGATACTTACTGTGCTAAAGGCCATTTTCTGATGCTGTTGATAGTCATTGCTAATAGGTAGAGAACCCATTTTAGATCCATATTTTCCAAAGGTTAATGTGTTAGAGGTTGGTGCTAATGAACTTGAATAAATAGAAGCATCTAAAACCTCACTTTGTGTACAAACAAATGGTATATTGACCCTAGTGGACCACTGATTAAGATTATGGGCATTTATATCTAAAAACCCAGAGGATTGGTGATAGAGATGATTAACAAACTGACTGAAGTCAAATACAGAAGCTGGAGATTTTGTTGAGGGTTTGTCATATGCTCCAGTTGATTCATTATTATTCATACTCGACTGGGAATTAAAAACAGCACTAAATATGTTGGTCATGAACTGACTAGATAAGTGTGGAGGTAAATCATCTTGTTTTAATGCGTTACTAATATCGGGTAGCATAGCAGGAATGGATGAAAATAAAGTGTCTGGGTAGATAGCATTGTGATCGGATACCTTTTTAGCCTGTATCCAATTATCATATGTCGGGGAATTTGTCATCAATTTTTCTGCAGAGTCTGTAGAAGGAGGACTACAAGGAAAAGCACACGACTGTAGCAATGATCCATTTGTGCTACGTATGCTGTTGTTGTTATATCCAAAGCTTTCAGGACATGAGTATGATAATTCTGGGTAATTGGAGTTTAATATATCAGTTTTAGATGTCAAAAACTGACCATCCGAAGATTGGTCGTGACCTTGTACAGCCTCTTCAAAACCCGGCGGAGGATAAAGATTAGAGAAAGTATTTGGACTCACGTTAAATGACTTGTTTGGATCAACATGGTTGATTCTATTATGTGATACTATATTAGAATACCAGGAACGCAGTTTTTCAGCTTGTGCAGAATTGAGACTTAAATTAGGTTGAGGAAGCCTAGCGTCTAAACTTGAGGACTGCGGTTCACTTGGGCAGTGTGAAATGCCAACTGAAGATCCATTGGTTAAGCAAACACGATGACTGAACAGAGGTTCAGATACATTGAGACGTGAAACTTCAGCAGCGAGAAGTTCAGCTAGACCTTGCTGAGATTCTCGAAAGGGATCAAAATCAATATCTGCGGGTTCATCTCCTAAGAGAGGTTGAATATTTGAAGAATTCTCTGAATTTGGACGACACCATGTACGGTGACAGCCATTACTGTTGGTACAAATAGGCTCAGTACGCGTAGACACTTGATTAGACGGAACAGAGCGAGGCAACAAAATCCGATTCTGTGTGGAATTATGGTGCCGGACATAGTTACTTTTAATTCCTTCTACGTATGATTTATCTGTATTTGTATTTTCAGACGAATTCTTAAAATGAAAAGTACCAAATGAATTTTTCCCAAGCTTTCTAGTTGAATAATCTGATGATGAAATCGATGATGAATGATTCCAACTACTCGGTTTGTTAGAATTATTATAATTTAGTTTAGATTTATCAGCCAATGAGTTATCGGAGACTGAGACAGCAACTGAATTATCTTTATCAGTATGCCTTAATTTACGCATCTCTCTGAGTGGTGCACTTGTTTGATCAGACTGTGCAGTACATCGATCCGAAACTTGCACGCCCGAGTTATCTACAGACAACATGGATGTATCTTCAAATCTGAAGCGATTACGTCCATTTGAGTAGCTGCTTGATTCACTGGTATGAGGTAATGAAGCATCATTGGGACTTGAAACAGAAGAGTCTAGTGAGGCTAAGATAGTTGTTTCTTCCTTTTGTGAATCAAGTGAATATGATTTAGACTGACAGAAATCTTGCAACAACTTGTTCATGTATTCAGTATGTTTTCCAGCTTGCATTTCTTCCTTAGTAAAACTAGCAGCTGAATCACCGAGTTCATGCAAGTACATGCATTCCTTGAAATAAAAACAATCGTTTGTGAAAAATCAAAATGATATATAAATTAAAAGACATAATCTTGACGAAGTAGTTATGATTTAAGTACTGTGACAAACGATAAGGCAAACTATATATTCAACATGTATGAAACGTAATAATATATATATATATATATATATATATATATATATATATTCGGATGTCGAATAAGTTCATTTTTATCATATCCTCAATGTATAGTTTTCCTCACTAACAAAGCTGCTATAATTATTTCGACTCTTTATTTGCCATCATGTTAATTTCATCCCAATGCACTGATTTATTTTGAGAACTTGGGTTAATGCATATTCACCCCAAAGCCTATGAATGATTGAATGACTGAGCAGTTAATTTGTTACTAAACACATAAGTAGCAATCAAATGAACACGCAGGTGAAACGACTCAAACTTATTTAGCACAAGGGAAGTGAAAAGGGATACCAAGTTTTGGTATCAGTCAATCAGCTACAATGTAGGACCAGGCACATGTATGCATCGATATTGTTAGCGGGACATAGATTGGATCAAAGCACGCTCAATGCACGATTGCTTTGGTACACGCTGATTGGCTAATTCTTGCCCAATCAGAGCTAGTCGATACTTAAAGAATACTCTAGAAATCCCATGTAAAAACTATAAATATACTAACGTTTTTCCTATTGTGCTTATTACTTCCATCTAACCTTGTTATTTGGAATAATAATTTCTTTCCTGTTCAACCGTGTTCTGGTTTGGGGACTTGTCGAGTAAAATTGGTATCCGAGAATACTAAGCAAAAGGAATAGCTGGGTTATAACCGTAAGAGAGAATTATAACAGATATGATAACAATAACTTATTTCTCCTTTTAGAAAGATTGAGTAGCAAAGACAGGCTGAAATTTAGCCGTAATTCATGGAAACCAATGATGGAGATTTTAATAACTTAAGTAAATAGTAAATCACATATTTGAAGATATATATATATATGTAACTTGAGTATTTAACCCATTGTATAAACTAAGTACTTGGTCTAACCGTACAAAAAAAAAATTGCATCACGATCTAATGGAAATATTTAAATCATTAACCAGAGGCATATAACGAAATGAATGCCTAATAATCAATAAACTTATTTGTTATTAGCCAGTCTGATGTTTTGAGGATGGTATCAGTGGTCAATAGAATTCCCACTACTGAACAGCATATGTATATTGTTACATGGGTTAGTAAACATGCAGTTCAATGAGTGTGACACAATAATGAACAGCTTGACTAAATTTAGGGGTATTTTCGCTAAGCTTTTAAATGGTTAATGACCCAGCTGAACCACTTATTTTTAGATTTAACAATTTCGATTAAATACAAAAAGTGGAAATCCAACCGAAAAGCTTGCGGCTAAGAACAGTGAGTTGTTTGTTCATCTGTTAGATCAAACCATTTAGTTTTAGAAACAGCTTGTTTACTTTCTTTTCAAAGTGCTACCTTAATTATACTTGCATGAGACTGGATACTTTAGCACTAATAAGAATATTATAGAAAATAAAAAAGGAACAAATTGGTCCCAGTAATCTTTAGTGTTCAACAAAAAGCTGTATATTCTGCTTGAGAAATTACAAAGATCTGAAGCATAGGCAAAATACTGAGACAATATCAACTGAAATTGCTGAGTACACAAAATCCCAGTTTGTCTAGGAGAAAACCATAAAATTTAAAGTGTGGAAAGTCACTTCAAGTTAACAAAATGAATTATTATTAAAGTTTACGGTACTAGCTTATCACTTATTTTGAAGCATTTCGCTGAAACGTACGCTTTGGTGGTTATTTCTCAAACACTTAAAACTTTGTCAAAACAAGAAAGAACTGGGCAGATATTTTCCTACTGAAATGTGTAGAGAAAAACAGTGAACGATAAACTAAGCAAATGACACAATCTACTTATCTTGCAAGAATCAGTACGGTAGCTTCTAACCGTTTACATTTCGAAGAATTGTTGGGACTACAAATTTTTGATTCATATAAGAGAAGGCCGACAAAGCTGATTTTCTGTATACAATCTGATTAGTAACCGATTTCACTTGCGAAAGCGAATGACAGTTACACAGAACTATTCACAAAACCATGCTTTAAATGAGTATGAATAACTTTTATTTACAATAATAAATTACAATCATGAAACTCACATGTTTGGTGCATTTTGTGCCCCTTAAAAACTGGCTACAGTACTTTGTAGTTCCAAGTGATACACGGATTGGTCTTCCATGTAACGTGCTCTGATTAAGATCCCTTATAGACCGCATGGCATCCTCAGCCCGATAATATGTTATATAAGCACTAAAACTAGGTTGACCCTGAAAATTTTGAGAGAGACGATATAAGCAATTTACAAAACATTCTTAAGACACAAGCTTGAAACACAGTCATTATCATTCATTAAACATACCTGTGGTCCACCGAAAGTCTGGTTTTGATTAACTTCCACTTTAAAAATTTTCCCATACCGACCAAAATAGTTCTGACCTTTAAGTATTTCCTTGTCCTTTGAGATCCATGTAGGTAAACCGACCACAAATATCAGATTTGGCTGAACAACCCTAGCCAACAATATCATTATTCGATAAAAATTACCTTAACTCTGGAAGGATTTTGAGCATTTCTGGATTAAGCTTTGTCTTCTTTATATAATCCTTGCGTCTTCTACTTGACCTACAACGGGATTCCCTATGAGACAAGAAGACTCCAAATTCATAACCTACTCATTCTCCGAAATAGGTTTGTAAGATGCCGGTTTTTCTGAATTATATTCCTAAGCAATTTTATACAAACTGCTGAACCTTACCTTTCGACAAGCTGGACAAAGCCCATTTTCCTCGTTAATTATCTTAGCCCAGCAAAACCGGCAGACCTAGTCTTTAGAACGGGATATCTCATTTATTTACCTGGTACCGGCAATCACATGGGTAAAATGAGATGTCATCTGCCTCCATCGGTTCCATACATAAGGGGCACTAAAGAAAGGTTAATTAAATTAAACATGTACCATCTCCTTCTCCTCCGTGCACATTAGGATTAAATTATAATCCCTACTCTGAAGATTAAAAATAGTGCCCTCAGAACTTTTTGTAAGAAGCGCTTCCTTTTATAAGAAATTGAGATGTAGCCAATATCCAATCTAAACATTCTGATGAACAGGTGATTTAGATATGTTAACTTCCATATTTCGAGTATTAATGACGGATGTTCTAGAAGGTTTTGCAGGTGAACTTCACAATGAAGTATTTTTTGTCCCACAAGATTCAGGAATTATATGGGTTTGATGAAAGTATATATGGTCAGGGAAATGTCATTGAGTCCTAGCCAAACCATCCAGCATCCAAGTCATTGAATAACCAACACTTTTTCGGTCTTCATCGAAGTTAATGGCGGCAAACGGGCATCAAATAATGGCTTCCTATGTACAGGCATATGAAGTAGTTGTTCCATCCTGTACTTTTGCTAACTGTTAATACTAATATGTGCTGTTGCCCACTGGAAGGATTTGTTCCAATCAATCGCCTGGTTATTGTAACAGAACAATCCAGGATAAGTATTAACTGAGAGTTGTGGCTACGACACTAGCTAGGAGGTCGTACCATTCCCGTCCAACTCGAGTAGACTGACGGCTATCGACATACTACCTGCGCTGATGATTTACATGTCAATTTCGCATAGTAAACCTTCAGTGTGTAGCCACAAACATGGTCCTAGAAAACACTACGTTTGGGAAAATGGGTTTTATAAGTCGATAAAATACTGCTATACTACTGATAGATCCTAAGGACTCAAGTGATTACTTGCTACCACATAACTGAACAAAAACATTTACGGCTAAGTTTAGTGAAGAAAACAATAAGGTAGGGGGAGATCTATTTGAGCACTAACCGTGAATTGACAACCACTCCTGACACTAATATCAGAAACCATCTAAAACATAATATTACTTGTGGCCTGTTTATCTGGTCAACAGATCAACTTAAAAATTTCGTACTGACTGTAGTTCATTTTAACAGATCAGTAATTTGTATACTCACTTTACTATACCAATGTACTAACAGCACCAACAAACTACTAACGAGTTACTTTTTTTCTGAGACTAGGGACATTTTTGGTTCAAGTTAACATTTGCAATGATGTTTTGTCATCTAATTGTTCAATATTCCTTAAATCTTCTTAGCGATTGGACACACTTATCCGTGTAGAGTCGGATCGCATCTCTTCGTTTAATGAGGAAGTGTAATATGGAGTGTGTCATAAGTAGTTCTAAAATGAGTATACCCTCGTAAAACGTAATACATACTCGAAAACCTCGAGGCATAGTGCTCGGTAGGGATGCTTGTTTTTCTATCGGAACAAGACTTTGTTCACTCACAAGGTCCTTGGTCTTTTGTTACTTGCGCATAGGTTGATTTAAATAACAGCATTGTGATATAACCACTAAAAAATGAAACTTGCGACTGGAAGTGTATAAATCTTCATCAAAACGCGTGACGTTCACGAAGTGCGACATTTCACATAGTAGAGGGACTGTAAAACTATGATCTAGTTCAGTATTAAAAGTATTTTCTTCTGTCCCGCGTCTTCTAGATGGTATCCAGAAAGAAATGCACAGAAGCCGCAACCGCAAGGCTCGATCAGTTTCTAATCGGACACATAACCTGACCTCCAAAGTCGTTGAAAACCCTCCGGAATACCACAGTCTGTTTGAAGCGACTTTGATTGCTTCTCCAAGCAACGTTGACGAATGGGTACAGGCTGTAAGGGAGAAACAAAATAACGATATAAAAGGGGACCCTACTCCCATAAAAGTATTCGGGATATCGAAGGCTGATCACAGTGATAGATCAGTTATTTTTCATAGAAGCAAGGAGAGCGAAAGCTCTGAACCAAAAACTCGTTTTGAGCATGACACTGTTCTGATAAAACAGCTACTTAATCAGCTCATGCCCCAAAATATCTCCGAAGTCACCTTGCTAAAGGTGTATAGACTAGGTAGTCTAGCGAACTTGAAGCCTAATCAATCCAGACTGCTTAAAGTAGTGTTCAAATCTTCGAATGAAAGAGACTTCATTTTACGGAGTGGATATACATTAAAGGGTTCGGGAGTTTTTATCCGAAAGGACTTGCCGTCTGCAGACCGTGTAAAAGACGGGAAACCGAAAAAGAACTGCAAATTAGGTTGGACGCTGGCAAAAAGACCTAAAAATTGTAAATTTTCGGGTTGTGAGGCTTCGACAGAGAATGATGCCGAAGCCACTGTGGGTAAAACACGAAGTCAATTAAATAGGCTTCGGATCTGTTACACTAATGCCCGAGGCTTGCTCAATAAGCGATCAGAACTAGGTGAACAGATTGACTCTACAAAGCCAGACATAATCGCAGTCACAGAAACCTGGTTGACACAGTCTATAGATAGTATGGAACTCGATTTTGAGGGTTTTACTTTAGTAAGGGTCGATAGAATACATAAGCATAAAGGAGGGGGAGTAGCTCTATTCATTAAGAATGCTATCCCATTTGTCATTATTGACAGTGTATCCCATGAAAGTGAGACGTGTCAACTTGTTAGTTGTCGCTTGAAATTCAAGTGCAACATGTGAAAGAAGCGACTAGGTGGGGCTCGGACTCTGAATCATCCTTACTAGATCTTATATTAACTCACAGTGATGATGACGTTGCGAACCTCCATTACATGCCACTCTTGGGTAAAAGTGATCACGCAGTTTAAACTTTTGACTTCCATATAACTGTCAATCACAAGCACGCGTCAACTCAATCCAGACCTAACGTCTGGAAAGCAAACATACCAGATATCATGCACTCAGCATCATTAGTAGATTGGACAATAGACCCAGTGTCCTCAATTGAAACGGTTTGGGACGGATTCCGAAATTTATACTTAAAAGTTGCTTCACCCCACATCCCTTGGACTATACCAAGGGGGCCGAGAAACTCCCCACCATGGCTCAGTAGGGAGGTTCGCATCATTCTCCGTAAGAGAAGAAAAATGTGGGATAGGTTTAGGTTACTGGGGGCAGATGAGACAAAATCTCAGTATCGAAAAGCTCGAAATACCTGTGCCTCGACCCTCCATATGTCTAGAAAGATGTACGAAAAAAAATTGTTATGGAATTCATAGAATGTCCTAAACGCTTGTATTCTTATATAAACAAAAGGACAAAAAGAAGAGGAAATATTCCTGCACTATGGGGAGACAGTACTGCCTCATCATTAGTGGAAGATTACTTTGGTAAGGCTCAAGTTTTCTCAAACTACTTTAGCAATGTATATACCATAGAAGCATCCTTCCCGTCAGCACATACTAACCCCCCCACACATACACTGGATAGCGTGACCATTAAAGAACTCGATGTCTTTGGTCTGCTAAATAAGCTTGACACAGGTAAATCCATGGGACCCGATGAATTGCATCCTAACTTCGTTGCGAATCCTTTAAGTATATTCTTTAAGCTATCCGTAACGCAGGGTCGTTTACCAAAAGACTGGAAGAACGCCGTAGTAAGTCCTGTCTTCAAAACAGTTACGAAACATAAACCTGAGAATTACCGACCCGTTAGCCTAACTAGTGTGTTTGTTAAAATCTTAGAAAGGATTATTCGGAAGGAGCTGTTTAAGTACCTCGATGTAGACCGGATTCTTTCGGAGAAGCATCACGGTTTCAGAATAGGTTATTCTTGTCTCACTAACTTATGAGTCGCTCGTGAAAACTGGTGCGCTCATAAGGACCAAAAGTTACCTTTAGACGTAGCCTACATTAATTTCAGCAAAGCTTTTGACAAAGTTCCGCACAACCGACTGTTATATAAGCTAAAAAAATGTCGGAATTGGAGGCAATCTATTGATGTGGATAGAAGACTTCCTAGTTGGGCGCCAACAAAGAGTATGGGTAAACTCAAAGTTATCTAGCTGGGAAACTGTGCTTAGTGGAGTGCCCTAGGGTACAGTTTTGGGGCCAGTACTATTCTTCTTGTATGTAAATGACCTTCCTCGCCTATTATCATTATCGGTCTTGCTATATGCTGACGACGTCAATATATGGAGAACGATACGATATAATGATGATAGTTTAGAACTCACAAATGACCTGAAGAAATTATCTGAATGGTCTCATACCTGGCAGTTGCCGATAAATACTTCCAAGTGTGTTGTGACGCATATCGGTCATTAAGGTACAGATACATACACGATGAATAACACTGAGCTACCTGTTGTCCAGACACATAATGACTTGGGAGTAATCGTTAGCCAACATCTAAAGACTACTGCACACTGCCGTCCAATAGCCGCCAAAGGTTTTATAACTTTATGGTTAATACGTAGGGCTTTTACTCATGTCGTAGAATCAGAGGCGACTTGATTACAGTTTTCAAATTGCTTAGTGATAAATTTGTGACTGATATGCCCTCATTTTTCTTGTCTTTCAAAACAAAGAATTTACGAGGGCACTCAAAACAAGTTTACCAGCCCAGAACAAATTACTTGTCAGCTGATTATCGACTTTCCCATCGAATCATCAACGAGTGGAATTCATTACCTCATCACATGGATAAAGCCACATCCGTCCATTCTTTCAAAAGAAATTTGGATCAACTGAGAGAACACCATTGCCAGGACTAACACAGGTCATCAAGCCTCCTGTCCTTTCCAAACTGAAACTAGTGTTTTGTGGTGTTTGAATGAACTAATGACTCCTTTGTACTTGTTGAATGTTTGATTTCGAATTCTAAATACAGTACATTCGTTAGTGTTTGTATAGTACTTCTTGATTCGATTGCGTTATCCCTGGGATTCTTAGTTCATACTATAATTCAAATACTTCTAATTATCATATTGGCGTCGCGATGGGGCCTGCGATGGAACAGTTAGATATTCATTCGGATTTTGATGCTTATGAGGATTACTTTGAAAGGTTCGAAATCTGGGCTATGACCAAGGAAGATGATGAGAATATTAATATTGTGGCACATTTTCTCACATTCATCGGAAAAGAAGCATATAGCTTAATAA